TATTCCTCAGCAGTGGGGCAGACACTAGAAGAGGATCGGAATGGTGATACTGCTACCAATTTTTTTTAGCATTTTGAAGCATACATTTCTAAATTTAAAAGAATAATCCATGGGGAAAATCCATTTATGTGTAGGGACTGATTTTGCAAATGCTGTATTTACTTCAGAAGAATATGACCTTGAACTGAAAGGGAACATCCCCTGAAAAAGATTAGGAAGAACCTAATCTTCCTTTTTTTGGTATATTTTCAGTGCATTCAACATGACAGTCCCATTTTAAAGGGAAAATCCCAAACTTCCTTTTAAATAAATACAGAGAAAATACAATACTTCAATAAATATATCTAACTCAATAACCTGGGTGACTGTCTAAGAGCATGAGAGTGACCCTATTGGATCCAGGCGGAAAATTCTTAATCCAACATATTTTATTTTTGCAATATCAAATCGAGTGCTTTGGTGGGCTTGCATGCAAGAGATGGACACATTCCCTGTCTCCAGGGATTTGTCCTCTTACAATTGGGATTTGGAAGCCAAGTGCCCCCAAAATGGAAGTAATACTAGGAACTCAGTTCATTTAGTGACCCTTCAAAGTTACAATGGCACTGAAAAAATGATTTATGACCATTTTTCACAGACTTTTGTGGCATCCCCATGGTCATGTGATTTGCCAGCTTGACAACTGGTTCATATTTATGACAGTTGCAGTGTTCTAGGACCCACACTGTTTATACTCTACATAAATGACTTTTGCTATCAACTTATAAGCAACTGTGTCCTCTTCATGTATGACGTAAAACTATTCAACACCACCAACAGTGTCTGAATGGTCAAACAATTGAGAACTCCAAATCTCGACCAACAAATGCTCTGTCCTACACATTGGTAAAAAAAATCAGTACACCAAATACAAGCTAGGCGGATATGACCTTGTTGGCAACCCTCACTCTGTCAAGGACTTTGGAGTACTCATATCGAATGACTTAAGCGCCAGAGCTCACTATAACAGCATTGCCAAAAAGGCATTAAGAGTTGTAAATCTAATCTTACAAAGCTTCTCCTCTGGTAATATTGAATTGCTAACTAGGGCATACAAAATCTTTGCTAAACCAATACTCGAATATAGCTCATCTGTATTCCAGACATTAATACAATTGAGCGAGTCCAGAAGTATTTCACAAGAAGAGTACTACACTCCTCTGCTCTCAACAGAATACCCTATATCACCAGGCTTGAAATTTTGGGCTTGGATAACCTAGAACTACACCGCCTACAGTTGGACTTAAGCTTGGTACACAAAATTATCTGCTACAATGTCCTATCAGTCAGTGAATACTTCGGCTTCAACCACAACAATACAAGAGCACCCAACAGATACAAACTCAATATAAACTGCTCCAAACTTGATTGCAGAAAGTACGACGTCAGCAACAGAGTGGCCAATGCCTGGAATGCACTACCTGACTCTGTTGTTACATTCTCTAACCCCCTCACTCCTTTAACCTCAAACTATCCACTATTGACCTCACCCCATTCCTAAGAGGTCTGTAAGGGACGTGCATAAGTGCACCATTGTGCCTACTGTCCCTGTCCTATTGTCCCCATTCATTCGTACTTATTTCCTGTATTCTTACTCATGTTTATACTTGTAACTATTGTAAGCGATTGACAAATAAAATAAATAAATAAATAAAAATAAACACTAGGAGTTCATTTCATTTAGTGACCCTTCGAAGTTACAACGGCACTGCAAAAATGACTTGTGACCATTTTTCACACTTGTGACTTTTGTGGCATCCCCATGGTCATGTGATTCACCAGCTTGACAACTGGTTCCTATTTATGGTTGCAGTGTCCCAAAAGGTCATGTGATCATCTTTTGCAATCTTCTCAATGGAGAAACCCAGATTCCCTTAACAGCCGTGTTACAAATTTAACAACCGCAGTGAGTCACTTAGCAACCGTGGGAAGAGAAGTCGTAAAATGGGGCAAAACTCACTTAACCAATTTCTCACTTAGCAACATACATTCTGGTCTCAATTGTCATAGGTCGAGACTTGCAGCAAACCTCCATTCCAATCAGTAACTCCAAGACAAACATATCTCAAAAGTACCTTTATTAGAATAGCACCTGGCACATCTGTGGAATCCCGAATCTAAAAGTTTTCGGGCTTCCCAGAATTTCTCAAACTACAAATCCACCCCCACTTGGCCGTCATCCCATCTCATGGCCCGATCACGATCCGTCCAAAAGTAAGATCCTTATTTCATCCCACGCCATACTCAATGACCTTGAACTAACAGAAGAATGTTATTTTGTCTACTTAGAGCTACTCAGTTGAAATCGCCCCCCTCCCACTTTCTCAGGCTATGTGGCAGTGTGGAATATGGCTTCCAAAGTGGACACTTAGAGGACTCCCAAAAACAGCAGGCGAGTGCATATTCCCACATGCACGAACAGTAGGCAAGCATGTGTGCGCACGCTCCATTTGTGCGAACGGCGGGCATGTGTGATGCCGCTTGCACAAATGGAGCTGTATGTGTGTGTGTTGCCGGCCACTCACGCCAAACGATCCACTCTCCCCACCCCCAAATTTCTGGTCTGCCAATCCGGAAAGGTTGGGGAACTGTGTGCTAGGCCAGTCTTTAAGAAACACTGCTTCAGTCCAACCCCGTGCAGAAGGTCAGCATTTCAGCCTCCCCTATCTATGGCCATCCAGGATCCAGCTAAACTTCTTCCCTGAAGAAGAGTCTGCCATTTCCCAAAAGACTCTGTTAATTGTAGGAGTTATGATTTAGACAGCAGGTACATTATAATAGTGAAGGTATCAGACTACAAACTGGGAGTTCTAGTCCTGAGTTCTAGTCCTGCATTAGGCACAAAGCCATCTGGATAATCTTGAGCCAGTGACTTTCTCTCAGCCCCTAGGAAGGAGGCAATTATATAGCAAACTATTTCCGAAAAACATTGCCAAGAAACTCCAGACAGTCTCCGAGAATCAAACGCGATTGAAAGGAAGAAATAAAAAGTAGTGATTTGTTGGTTGGAGGCAAGGATTCAAATAATTTAACAACCAGTTCTCTGCCCTAATAATTTCTTCCAACAACCAGTTCACTAAATTGCTCAGAAAGTTAACAGCCTGTTCTCCCGAAGTGGTGTGAACTGGCTGAATCCCACCACTGGTTGGAGGGTTCTCCCAGCCTTTTTTCCAAAGACCTTCCCCCTTCCACATTTTAGCCATATATCATGGCTTCACGGAGCCCAAACTGTTGTCTACCAACCAGTTCTTTTAAACTAGTTGACAGAATATTCACTTTCCAGAGTTCCAGAGCAGTTGAAAGAGGGAACAGTGTGGGGATAAATCAGATCTGGTAGTCAAAAGGTAAGACTTGTTCGAAATAAAGATTTCAAGAGGCCAGATAAACTCCAATTACTGAAGAAAGAAGCTTTTGGAGAACCTTTTCCTAAGAGGCATCCTTACTATTCATGGGATGTAATTTGAAAGAGTACTGTAATCCTCCTTATGTGTGTGTACACACACACAGGCCCCATAGGAAGTTTAACCAAGGCTCAGGTTTGCTCCTTGGCTTGTCTAGACCCAACAGGTATACTGCATACCTTTAGGTCAGCCATCTTGAGATGAGCCCCCCTCAGCCATGCTTTTATATGCATGTCATAGAATGGGAGATATATGCTACCTATATACCAAGAGAGCTTTGGGCAATATATGGAATTAAAATCCCAGTAAAATATAAAGCTCTAAAACACATCAAAGGCAAACATAAGATGCATAGATGGTGCAGTTAAGTAACCCAGTTCAGACTTCAAATGCTGAGGCAAATAAAAACAATTTCAGTGGGTGTCTAAATTGTAGCAAAGTCTGTGCTTCTCTTGGTTTCCGGGAGGAAAGATATTCCAAAGAGTTGTGTATCACAACAAAAATCATCATCTCCCAGCTCATGTCAAAGGACTTCTTAAAGCAATGTGTCTCAACTTCAGCATGGGCAGCAAAGATATGTTATAATACAACAACATTGTTGTTTCCATCCGATAAGTGACATGGTATACATGGTTCCTGAAAATTTTGTACCCAGATCTATACATTGAAAGTGTCCAAGTCCCTTCAGTGTAAAGCCTTTCTCTTTCCCAGGATTTAGTACAAATAACATCAAATATAGGATTAGATTGCAGGTCTCTAAAAAGCTGCACACAACAGACACCATATAAATACTATACACACACGAAAGCACACACATTGCTGGAGAGAAGTTCCCAGAGGATGGGCTCCAGACAAGTCTAAAAGTTCAGAAGACTAAACCTTTGGTCCCGTATAGGATTAGATTCATGGGCGTTCACATACTATATGTGTATGAAGATTTTATTTAGTGCTTGAAATGGGCCACAACAGTTGTGTTCCTACCAAGTCTTCTTTTTTTATTTCCAAATTCAGTAGGTTTCCCCGCATTTACGATTATGTAAGTGAGAATTGTGTAGTAAGCTTGTTTTATTGTTTTGACTGTCTCTGGGAATTTTCTAAACATTTGGTCAAGTTCCTTCCTTTCTATTATTCCCTCCTTTAAATCTCCTACGTGGATAGGCCTTACCATGGATCCAAGTAAGTAAGTAACAAAGTTTGTTATGATCTTAAACCAGCATAAATCATGAATCTTTCCCCATCTTTTCCTCACCCAGCTTGGAGAAAGGCTGAGTGAAATTACATTTGCAGAATTTAATTACCCAGAATTTGCCTTAGCTCAAAAGGTGGAAATGTTTTAAGGCAAATAATAACCTTGCTTCCTAGTTTAAATAAAGGTGTGTGCCCCTTATTCTTGACCTCTTCTCCTTTTCCCTGGCATTTCCTGATATACCTTCAACAAAATTGCATGGTGCACAGAATCCAAGCTGGCCTTGGTGATGCTATTGGGGGCAGGATTCCTACATGATCCTTAAGAGGCATTGGATCCCTTTGAAATTACTCTCTTTTATACATTCTAACCAGGCAGAAAGAGAGCAGACTCGATTTGCTTGCCGGGACCTATCCAATCAAGAGGTTTTGGCCCGCATACAGGAAGTAGTGAGTGCCCGCTTTCAAGCCATTGAACAGGAGTTTAAAAACGCAGATAGCACAAAAACAAACCTGGTGTCTAAAGAGGTCTTCAGAGATATCTGTAACCGCCGTTTCTTGCTTCTAACTGATGAGCAGGTGAGCCAAGTGAGAATTTATTTCCTTAGGAATCGTTCCCCCTCTCTCTCCCAGACAGAAAATATTTCCACCCAGGAAATATGATATGGCCATACCAAGTGATTCCTTTATTTGGTCCAAAGTATAAATAATGCATTAGGTCACCAATCCTCCTTCCCCTCTCTCAGTGCCTACGAGAATCGCTTTTATGCAACCGAATGCAGAAGCGATGAGTGGAAATGGTACAACATAGATGTACATTCTTTCATATTCAAAAAAAAAACACAGTTATCTTACTTAAAAGTGATAGCCAGTTTAAGCACATGTGTGCAAAAATACTTGATTCTTTTTATATACATTTTTATTAACACTTTTACAAAGGACCTAAAAACCAACACAATCTTTATCATTATTATTATCATTACTGAAAGAAAAAAATAAATAGAAGAAAGCTTCCAATTTCCTTTGAGGCAAATGTAAGCACAGTTACAAAATTATCTCTTACTCTATGGTTACACCAAAAGGTGTAATTTATTTATTTATTATTATTTATTTATTATTATTATTATTATTATTATTATTATTATTATTATTATTATT